AATGTGCAGTGTGTCTGTAGCCTCTCCTGAGGAACAGCAGCAACTGGGAAGGGGGCACTTACTGTGGGCAGGCATTTCCAGTTGGGTACCTTCTGGGCATTTCTCCTCCTCCTCCTCCTCTTCTTCTTCTTCGGATTTATTTATTTATTTTATGTATATGAGTACACTGTAGCTGTCTTCAGACACACCAGAAGAGGGCATCAGGTCCCATTACAAATGGTTGTGAGCCACCATGTGGGTGCTGGAAATTGATTCCAGGACCTCTGGGAGAGCAGTCAGTGCTCCTAACCACTGAGCCATCTCCCTCCAGCCCTCCTTCTGGGCATTTCAGTGCCAACTTCCGTTTGGAAGTAAGCATGCCATCTAAATCTCTTCTTCCCCAGCATCTTTTATGTCAGTGAGCGGCCCCACTGGCTACAAAGTACGTTGTTTAAAGGTGTTGGCCTCCTCTCTGCTTCCCTCCACTTCTAACCCCGAGGTCCATTGCTTCTACGGCTATGCATGCCATCTTCTTTGTTTGGTGTTTGCTTCTTGGTTTATTGAGAAACAGTATCTCTATTATGTAGTTCTGGTTGTCCCGAAACTCAGTATGTAGACCAGGCTAGTCTTGAACTCCCAGAGATACTTCTCGAGAGGCAGGATAAAGGCATGCAGCACATATCCAGCCTGCCATGTTTTCTCTGTGTCTCCAATACCCATCATTTCTATCACCGACCTGCCCCAGACCATCTCACTTTTCCTTCTTCTCTCCAATTGTTATACATTTTTCTGTCTGGTAGCCCTGATTTCAGTCTTATCTCTGTCCACACTATGACAACAATGATCCTTCCAAAATATAGACCCGAAGCCACGTTTAATGGCGCACACCTTTGATCCCAGCACTGGGAGGCAAAGGGAGGTAGATCTGTCAGAGTTCAAGGACAGCTCGTTTTTTATATCAGGAGTGGTTCTCAACCCATGAGTCATGACCCCTTTGAGGGTCGAAGACTCTTTCACAAGGGTCACATATCAAATATCACATAGCAGATACTTACATTACAATCGATAACAGCAGCAAAATTACAGTTATGAAGTAGCAACGAAAATAATTTTACGGCTCGGGGTCACCACAACATGAGGGACTATACTAAAGGGGCACAGTGTCAGGAAGGTTGAGAACCGCTGTCACAGGGAGTTCCAGGCCAGCCAGGGTTATACAATGAGACCCATTCTCAACAAAACACAAAATATAAACCTGATTATGCATCCCACCAGCTCTACCCCAGCCCTCACCTAAAACCACGCAAGGACCCACTTCACTCTCAGGATAAAGCTTGTTTCTCACATTGCTCATGTCTCCAAGTCATCCCTACTTCTTAGCCTGATAACATATATATATATATATATATATATATATATATATATATATACACACACACACACACACACACACACACACGCACGATGCCTGGCATAGAACAAAGGGTCAGTAAAAATTTGGGGGACTGAGCCCAGGACCTGACACATCCTAGACAAGTAATCTCTTAGTGAGTAATATCCCCAGCCCTTTATTTACTTATTTTGAGATAGGGTCTCATTTAGTTGCCTAAAGTGACCTTTGAACTCACTCTGTAATCTGGTCAGGCCTTGAATTTATGATCTTCCTGAGTAGTAGGGTCTTTAAGCCTGGACCACCACTAGGTCCAACTCAAAAAAAAAGAAAAAATAAAAAAGAAAGAAATTCAAGGATGTGAGCAGATCTATCATACCTTACAGGTGAGAGATTTCAAAGTATACTGGCAATGGCTTACTCCTGTTGAGAAAACTAGCTGCACACTAGTCAACTCCTTTCTCCCTCTCAGTGGGCAGTAATAACATCTAGACTGTGTCCTGGACGTGACCCAACCTGAAAACTAGGCAGATTAGGGTATTCTGAGGAGCTAGTTAGCAACCCGACCTCCTGTTAATGCCAGGAGTTCTAAATGTGGGCCATCTTCTCAACCAGTACGACAGAAAAGTGACCTAACATCAACCTCCAAAGAGGGAAGACACCCAGCGCTGAATGGTCGACCACACAGCATTAAAGCAGAGAATGTGGGGAGACGGCTCAGAACTTACAAGTACATGTAAGTACAAGGACCAGGGTTAAGACTTAGCACTCACAAGGTGGCTCTCAATCATTCACAATTCAGTTCCGGGGGATCTGAATTCAAATGCTGCTGCAGGTAGTGAGGGCGTGGCTCTCCAGGGTCATCATTACTGTATACGAGTTATGCCACACCATCACACGGGTTTGTAAACATCAGTCTACAGCCCCGACCCAAAAGAAGTCTAGCTTGTCTTATTACAAACAAGGAAAGGGTGTGATGCAGAATAAGAACGGAGGGGGCTGGAGAGATGGCTCAGCAGTTAAGCGCACTGACTGCTCTTCCGGAGGTCCTGAGTTCAATTCCAGCAACCACATGGTGGCTCACAACCATCTGTAATGGGATCTGATGCCACCTTCTGGTGTGTCTGAAGACAGCTACAGTATAGTCATATACATAAAATAAATAATTCTTTAAAAAAAAAAAAGAATGGAGAATAATCAACATTGGGGCTTCAGAGTTTTAATCAATTGATTAGTAAAACTGACTCAAAATGTAGCAAGCCTCATCCTAGGAAATAACCGTGGAACATGCTACAGCTTCACGTCTTGTCTCTAAGGATGAAGGCGTGTGAAGGATAAAGTCTGTGAAAATACCAAGTGCTAGACAGCTGGTAAGGAGGGCAAGGCCATGTACAAATGTTCTGCCCGTGTTTATTAAATAAGGATAAGCACCTGAACGAAACAAAACATGAAACAAACACTCTAAGCCCAGAAGTGGTGCACGCCTTCAATCCCAGCACTCAGGAAGGTGGCTCTCTGAGTTTGAGGCCAGCATGGTCTAGAAAGAATTCCAGCACACGTAGTCTCGAAAAACCAACCAACTAACCAAACAAACAAACAAATAAAACAAAAATTGAACAACAAAAACCAATCTAGATGTCATTTGCTTCCAAAAATATAGTTACTTGCAAACATTCAAAATAGTTAGAAATGCCTGACAGACTTAAGATTTCCATTCCAGGGCACAAGAACAGCAGACACATCATTTGTGTTGGGCTTCAAAGCCCTTTGAGGGGAGAATGTATCTAATTATTGTTACACTTCCAGGATCAGTTCATTAATCCCTATCCAGTAAATATTGGATGACTGGCCAAGGATTAATCAGTCCTGTAGTGTCCAAAGGCGCCATAATCGAACATCAAGAAACAGGGTGAGGAGGGATGGAAGGCTGTGGATTTGGCTCCATGTCAGAGAGCAGGCTTGGCATGTGTGAAGCTCTAGGCCTTGTGGCACACCTGCAGTCCTAACACCCAGTCCATGAGACAGGAGGACAGAGCGTTGGACCTCAGCCTGAATTACACAGTGAGACCCGAGGGTTTTCTGTTGTCGTAGTTTAATCCAAAATGACTCTTTTATCTACACGCTCATTCCACTTCCCAGACAAAACTTTTTTTTTTTTTTTTTTTTGAGTCAGGGTTTCTCTGTATAGCCCTGGCTGTCCTGGAACTCACTCTGTAGACCAGGCTGGCCTCAAACTCAGAAATCTCCCTGCCTCTGCCTCCCAAGTGCTGGGATTAAAGGCCTGCACCACCACTGCCCGGCCAGACAAAACTTCTTGCATTGACTTTCCCCCCATTCTACAAAAGGGGATCTGCTTGCTATCCCATGCCGGAGAATTAGCTTCCTGCCGATCTCTTGTCTTTATTCCTGCCTGGATCCTACTCAAGTTCTCCATCTTCAGACTCCCACTTTAAAATGCCTTCCTCAGTGAGGAATCTTTAATCCCAGCCAACCTGACCATCCTACTCTCCCCTATGTCTCACGTTCTTTCACTGGACTAATTTTGCTTTAAGCTTCATTTGTACACCTATGACAGACGCAATATTAATAAAATATACATTGTGTCCAAAGATACCTTTGAATTCCCCTGTGTGGATGTGTGTGTGCACATCCAGGCCAGCTAGTACAGCGCAGGCAGTTGAGGATTATAAGGTATCCACCGAAGAGCAAATAAGTGTTTAAGGACCAAAACGGAGACAGAAGCTATAGGATCACGGCAAGTTCGAGGTCAGCCTGGCCTATATCGTGAGTTCTTAGCTAGCTAGGGTTAGAGACCCTGTCTCAACAAAACAGTAACGACAAATAGACCAATGACGATGGTACTGAGCTCTTAAGTTGCAAGGGCCTGCATGAGTTAATTAGCTTGTCTCCTCCACGCCAGTATTGCACTTCCCTCTTCCCTGATAGAAAGTAGCTAAAAACCAAGATAGTCTCTTTTTTTTTTTTCTGCACAAGAGGTCTCCCTGCCTCTGCCTCACAAGTGTGAGGATTTCTGATGAGCAACCACGCCTGGGTCTGCCTAGCTTCTTAAACCAGCACTGGGTTCTACACTGCCTGTTCCTCGCTCCCAGGTTCCAGATTTCTGGGAGGTCCCCGACCTAGAGATAGAAGAGAGAGGCGGGTGCATTTAAGGCCAAGGAGGCACCCAGGCCTCTTCCTGTAGATTCGCACCTAACACGTATGCAGCAAATTACAAACACGCTCTCAAACCACATACACGTGCACGCCCAGACCCACGGAAGCAGACGCGCATGCCCGTGGGCCCGCGCGAACCTACTTAGTTTTCTCTGTTCTAAATGCCCCAGCTCCAGTCCCACTCGGCCGGGCCTGGCATCCCGACGCCCAGCACTGGGTAGGTTTTGCAGGTCAGCTCCGGCCTGAGGAAGAGTGTTTCTCCGCAGGGGGGAGGGGAGGCCCTGCCCACCCGGGCGGAAGCGGCGCGCGCCGGCCGGGCAGACTTAGCTCTCGTCCTGGGAACATCTGGACAGAGCTGGGAGGGGCGCGCACCCAGGCTGATCTTGGATTGGCTGAGCGGGAGGAGGGAGGCGGGGTCTGGTTGAGGGGCGGGGCTTATTGGCCCCTTTAAAGCCTTGACATCAAGAGGCGGCTCCGGTACCCCCCTTTTTCTGCCCCCCCTCACCCGCCCGCCCGCCCCCGAGATGCGGCCATGGACCCTGTGGACCAAGCCAGCCGAGCTCAGCACCTGATTTCGGTAAGTTCAGGCCTGTTTGGCATTTAACGGGCTGTGAGGTGGGGGGCCGCACGACCCGGGCGGGGGCCGCGGAGTGTGGAGTGAAAAAGGCTCGCGTGGCAGCTTTGGCTGGAAGGGGCAGCGAGGCTTCCCGGCTCACACCTCGACGCCTGCCATTCCCTCGCGCCGCACTCTCCAAGGAGGGGTCCTGTTGTGACTTTGTCCACCCCCCCACCCCACCCCCTCCCGCCCCCTGCGCCATCCTCGCGCACACTCGGTGGCCCCGGAAGGGAAACTTTCGGGAGTGGGGGATGTTCCGGTGGCGGGTGTCCCTCCCTCTTTGAAAGCACTGACCTTGCCCCCACTGCGCATCCCACCCTCTCCGTAGCCCACGGTCCCGGTACCGTTTAGCGGTGCTGGGTTGCGGAGGGAGGGGGCTCTCCCCAAGGCGCAGGCGCAGACTGCAGCCCGGGGCACCCCTTCGCACTCCTTCCAGTCCCTGTGGCCCGGGGCTGTAGGGCGTGGGGGAGGCGGGGAAAGGCGGAGTGACCGGGTCTTGGGAACAACCCTGCTGAGGCTCTGAGGGGCTGTGGGAAGAAGGGATCCAGACAACCTGCATGCTGAATAGAGGCTGAGCGAAGGAGATGGGTTGGGCTGGAGTAAGGGTTAGGGGAGTCCCGACTGAAAAGGTTTTCTGGGTTTTGGCCGGGGTGCTAAAAGAATGCAGAGAATTTATTTGTGCCTGACATTCCCATGGTCTAGCAGGCTCAGGAGAGTGGCTGTTGGGACCCCAACTCCCTTTCTTTATATCCTGGGCGGAAGGCCCCTCTTGTCTCTCCAGCCTTGGCGCTGTCCCAAGGGCACAGAAGGCCTTCATCTCCTCATAAGTCTGGTTTTCCAGAGGGCTTAGATGAACCCACTCAGCCTGGCCAGCAGCTGCTTTTTAAAGACCCGCCTTCCTCAGGAGCCGGAGGTTTTAGGCTTGAGGGCTTCCTTAGGTTTAGAGGCAATCTTTGATTTACCTCTCCGAGAACTCTTCCCTTCTCCAGTGGGCCCTCCTGCTCAAACACAATTGTCAGCCAGAGGAAGTGGTTGGAGACAGAGGCCGGCAACCAGGACTGGTTTGAGGAACCGTGGGGAAGGACTCTCTCACTATTGTGTGCTCAGGCCTCTGAGGGGAAGTGAGCATTGCACAATTTCTTTGTTGTAGACCCTCTTCTGTCTGACAGGACCCCCCCTCCCAATCTAGCCTGAAAGCTTGGCTCTCAGATTTTTTAAAAAACCTACCCCTAGTGTGTGAGCAGATTTCCTGTGGAGAAGTATTCCCACATAGATTGTTTGGTTTTGTTTCCAGTGCCTGTGGTCTACCTAAGGTGTCTTTGGCTCTACAATATTCTCCAAAGCTCCATCCAGCCTTTGGGAGAGAGTCAGGCTTCAGCGAAGGGATGGGGAGAATATTTGTGTATGTGAATTGAGTTGCTGTCAGGATGGCCAGAGTCAGGAGCGTTGGGCCCTGGACTTGCAGCCTTCGCTGTGACCTTGAGCAAGATAGTTTGCTTTTATTGGGTACAATTTCCTTCATCTTCAGAACTCAGCAGTAGGACCAGCACACAACACACACACACACACACACACACACACACACACACACACACACTGGGAGGTGGTGACTCAAGGGGAAAAGGGTCCTCCAGCAGGCTGGTCCTGTTAAGAGAGCTAAACTTCTGGGCCACAGTTTATTGGGATTAAAATTTTGGATTGAGAGAAACAGAACTTTGTTTTGCCCGTGAATAGGCCTTTTCTGCTCACCCTGGTGCCTTGGGGTATGAACTCCTGCTGGCTCAGGTTCGGCCCACCCATCAAGGTGAGACATCATGACTGGGCCAGTCTTTGAGTTGGGTCTTTGGGGAGGGTTTGAGAGAGAAGGCAGCCAAGGGCCAGCGGGGTAGGCAGATTCCCAGCAGACAGTTTGCATCTCAGCTGTTGGGACTTGTTTTAGGATCTGAGCCAGGGAGGCCAGCACATTCATCCACCCTCTTGTGGGAAGAGGGCAAGGAGGGCCCCACTGCTGTTGTCCATCCTACCTGCTGGCTCTCCATACTGCACCTCTGTACTCACCCCAGCTCCCGAGCAGCAGGGGGAAGCTGCCCCTGCCCTGCTTTGCCCAGCACCCTTACCTCTTTGAGGCAGGGCTTTCTCAGGGCTCTGGGGCTCCAGGTTAGGACTTGCTTCCTAGCCCAAGAGCCAAACGGCTTCATGTTCTCATTTGTTTTCATCCTTGGGCTCCCAGGTGAAGAGGACTATAGGTGATGGTGGCGCTTAAAGAGGCCCCTGGATGTGAGGCACATTCTCCTGCATTGTCCTTCACTCTGTCAGCTTTCCTAGGTCCGGGGAGCCCTCTGGCCCCAGCCCTGCCAGCCTGTGTGAAGCATCAACAGAAGGCTTGTAGGTGAAATCCTAAGAAGCCTCCCTCACTGTTGTGAAGCCCTTGACATGGATAATGGAAACTCCCAGGGAAGTCAGTTTCCAGAAAGCAGTTATTGGTGGAGTCCCTGTGAGAGCACAGGGTTGCAGCTGTTGCTAGGCAGAAACAGCAAACCCATCTTGAGGAATGGCTCTGAGGCTGGCAGCCCAAGAGCCTGTGAAGGAGAAAGAAGAGCCTAAGTGAAGGGTGGGGGATTCTAGTGTGCAGACCCGGGTCACCTGTATCTGTCTCTCAGAGAAAGGTTCTCTTCCTCACTCTGGAGTCCCCAGCCCCTCCCACAAGCATCCTTGCTACCACTGTCTGCCTTGACAGCCCCTTGCCTGGACCTGGCAAGCTCTTGCAGCCTGTCTGGCTGCACTAATAGACTGATTGGATTTTCTATACTTGTAGTTTGGGGTTGTTTTTTTTTTTTTTTGATTGAACATGCAAATTTATGTAAATCAACCTGAGATCTGCCACCACATCAAAACAACATAGAGCTTCCACAGGCTGGAAGGAATACGAGAGAAAATCTAGTCCAAGGCCCACCTTCAAGTCAAAATGGGGAAACTGGTCAGTCAGTGGGGGCACACGCCTTTAACCCCAGCACTCCGAGGGCAGAGGCAGGTGAATCTCTGAGTTTGAGGCCAACCTGGTCTACAGAGGGAGTTTCAGGACAGTCAGGGGCTACACAGAGAAACCCTGTCTTGATAAACAAAGAGAGAGGGAGAGGGAGAGGGAGAGGGAGACGGAGAGGGAGAGAGAGAGAGAGAGAGAGAGAGAGAGAGAAGAAAGAAAACTGAGCCGGGCAGTGGTGGCCCACGCTTTTAATCCCAGCAATTGGGAGGCAGAGGCAGGTGGATTTCTGAGTTCGAGGCCAGCCTGGTCTACAGAGTGAGTTCCAGGACAGCCAGAGCTACACAGAGAAACCCTGTCTCGAAAAACCAAAAAAAGAAAAAGAAAACTGAGCTGGGCATAGTGGCCCATGCTCTTAATCCCAGCATTAGGAGTCAGAGGCAAGCGGATCTCTGTGAATATGAGGCCAGCCTGGTCTACATAGCCAGCCAAAGCTACATAGTAAGACTCTGTCTTGACAGCACCCCCTACCCCCCACACATACACGTTCGAGGGAACTAGCAGTCAGATAGACTGTGACTCAGGTGGTGATGAGGGTCCAAGGTCCAGCCTCTGATCACTGCCTTTACATGGCTGCTTTCTGCCTTAGTTCTCATTCACGAAAGACCCGGTTGTGTTCAAAGCAGAGAAAGCCAGTTCTTGAGCCTAGATAGCTATAGAGTGTTGGGCTAGGATTCTCCAAGTGTTCTCTCTGGTCAGCTTTCTCACTGCTGAAGGAACCCCTAATGCCCTAGACCCTGTGCTGGAGCATCATGAGAGAAGACGGTTTCCTGGGAGATGCAGTTTTATTTGTCCTCAGCATCGACACAGTGCTAGGCACACAGTAGGCTGTATCTGCAGGATCTTGTTATCTGCTCTCCTAGTTTGAGTTTTTGCTGCTTCTCTCCTTGGATAAAAATGGGAAAGATCCACTGTGGGTCTCTGCCTGCCCTCTTGAACATCACGCTATCTGAGCATCCTCTGCAACATCCCACAGTAGTGACCAGACAGGCCTCGCTGTGGGAAGGATCTCATTATTTGAAAGCAGTTATTGGTAGAGTCCCTGTGAGAGCGAAGGGGGCAGCTGTTGCTAGGCAGAACCGACAGTCCCATCTTGAGGAATGGCTCTGAGGCGGGCCAGCCTGAGGCCGTGTGAAGGGAGGACAGCCGAAGGTGGATAACTGCTACAATAAGCTTGATTCCAAGAAGCGGTCTTCGGTGACATTTTTTTCCCCTGTGCTGGGGATTGAACAAAAGCCAGGCCCTGAGCTATATAGTTCCTAATCTCCCCACTTCATGACATGCTCTTGCTTACATCCCCTCACCCAGCTGCAAGTTCCCCACTCCCTGACACTCCATCACAGCCTCTTATACTGTGCTTGTGATATGGAATTACCTTACCTTGTGGTCTCTGAGTGCACTCTAGGGATGTCTCAGGAAGCTGTTGGCCCTGTGCTCCAGGAGAGTGGAGCAGGGACTCAAAGACAAAGGCCCTAGTTCCCTGTTGGGGCTGTCCACCTGGTCCTGCAGCAGCCTTATGGGATAGCTTGGGACACACATAGGGGCTGTCTTTATCTTCTCCCCAGCCCACATTTGGAGTGAACGCACCTGCCTTTCACATCTTCCCAAAACTGCAGGAGTGGAACTGATACTCCAGTTCCCGACAGCCCGGCAGCTCTCAGCACCTGGACCTTGCCTGCACTGGAGCAAGATCCTTCTCCCTGGGCCTCAGTTTCCCAGCAAGTCCTCGTGAATTAATAACACATCATCATTGGGGTGTGGCACCTGCTCCATAATTACCATTTTTCTCAGCTCTGGGAGTTGCACAGATGAAAGAAGTCTGAGGAGGCCAGGCTGTTATTAAGGTGAATTATCATCGCTGTCATTACTGATTTCTAAAAACCCAGTAGGTGCTCACAAGAACCCAGTTAGGCACAGCACC